CCACTTGAACTGAAATAAATAAATATAAAATGGGAAACAGCTGAATCAAAACCAAATCGGTGATGACATGCGCACTATCACCAAATACATAACGTCTGTGGTTGTTTAAGAGTAAAGCCACATCGGACTATTTGCTGTGTCCACCGCGGTGAATGAAACTCTGGATTTTAGCGTCGAAGTCCGTTAACTTTCCACTGTCCCACCCAGGGACCATAACGTGTATGATGTGAAAAGATTAACGTAATACGTATGAAATTAACATCTTATGATTTTCTTTCTTGAATGTTTCTCCAGTTTGTTGGTGTATTAAATAACCTAAGGAACTCAATATTTGCTTTTTTCTTGTATTTAGAATTTTCGTGAATGGCCGTTCCTAAATTTTAACTAAAAGACTAGAGGGGAAATCAGTTAGATAATAGCACCCACCATCAACTATTTGTCAACTCTTGTCTGGCCGAATAATGGGGTTTCACTGTCACTCTTATAGTGGAATCACTGCCCCAAAGTGCTAACTGCGTTTTTAATGGCTAAAGGACACGAACCTTGAACCCGTGGATTTACAGTCTCGACACGTTAACAGGTAGGCCACATTTGGCCTTCAAAAAATTGCTTATCGTATTCCCAGTTACCCTGGGAACTTATCATGCATCTAAGTATGTCACACTGTGTACATGTCGTTGTTAATTAAGCTAACTTGCTTTGCGGAACTAGTCCGGGTTCACTGCAGTCTTCCGGTCACGTGACAGCGTACTTCCTCTTTTTTTTCTCTTCTTAGTCAGGCTCTGAGGTCTTACACCAGCAACCCTAACGTTCAGCAATTTGTATTTATGCATTTAAGCATTTAAGCTCCTGATTTTGTTACTTATCTTGGAACATTGTACTTCAGCCCCAGTGGTTTTCGTAATCTGCTACAAACCAGTTGATGAGTCGAACGAATAGAACGACCGATCGTGCAGGATTCAGATCATTTGGATTGGTGGATACGTATCCGTATATGTGTGTATGTATTAATATTGTATTATAAGATCATTTTAAAATATATAGTTTGTGCATGTTCTGTGACGCTATGTCATAGCATTTGAAGTATGTAAAAAAAAAATTAAATGCGCAGTCGTACACATTTTGAAGTGAAGTAACTTTTAAAAGAAGAAAGATAAAGATATAATGTTAGCTAAATGTTGCCCTAAAATCCTGATATTTTATTCATTTTGGTCTAAACCTGAATTGAAGATTTTGCCAATAGTCAGTGCTAGAATGGTGGTTGTTTAAAAAGTCTGTTGTTCTTGTGTAACGTCGACTCCAATAAAACTGTCATGGTAGCTACATAGAATACAGTTAAATGACGGCACAGTTAACTCAAAGGTACAAGAGTTGTGAGCTGGACATGGCTACAGATTAACATGCTCGGACTGTGAGTCAGAGTATTTATAGCTCGCATCCTTTTGCTGCAAACACGCTCCGTACTTTGGAGTCAAGGGGAACTATAAGAGTGACTGTTAAATTTGTTTTGAATTTCGCGCAAAGCTACACGAGGGCTATCTGCGCTAGCCGTCCCTAATTTAGCAGTGTAAGACTAGAGGGAAGGCAGCTAGTCATCACCACCCACCGCCAACTCTTGGGCTACTCTTTTACCAACGACTAGTGGGATTGACCGTCACATTATAACGCCCCACAGCTAAAAGGGCGAGCATGTTTGGTGTGACGGGGATTCGAACCCGCGACCCGCAAATTGCGAGTCGAGCGCCCTAACCACCTGGCCATGCCGGGCCTCGTGACGTACGAAAAAAATGTTTTCCCATTTTAACGCTCTGACATCTGTTCTTGACTGGAGCGGTCACACGGTGTCTGAAGTCAGATCCCGAGGGAGAGTGACAGAATGTGTGTGTACTGGACGATGTGCTAGAGCTCTACCATGGATAGGAGGAGGGGGTTTGGTTAAGAATACACTTAATTTTGGGTTTTAACTGAATGAGTTATTTTTTTATGTACATATTTTTAGTTTTTGAATTGTCTAGACTCAACTCCAGCTTCATATGTCAGAGCGGTGATCCAGCAGCAATAAATCCCTGATCTTAACACAGTACGATTCATCTAAACATAATAACTTTCATTTTAGTACAAAGCAGTTTTTCTAAATACAAAACGGTTCATCTAAACACAATGCAAGTAATCTAAATCCAAAACGACTTACCTCAACACAATACGACACCTTTAAATACAAAGCAATTACTTTAAACAAAAATG